TACTTAGGGAAAATAGAATTTACTTAGTGCATGCAGACTTTTTTTCATTATCACTACTTCCACAACTAAAATATATAGTGTCAGCCTAATTCATAGTTTATTACTCCTTTACACAAAATGATAAAATGAAAATTTGTCACAGCCCCTGCAAATGCTCTACTCTTCATGCAGTGTTAATTGATCTACAATAATTTGTACTGTGCTTACAAGAAACTCTATTTGAAAGTCCTTGTCCTGAGCCAGTTGTCTCTAAATAATGAAGTGAATTATCTGCTAAACACAAAAATTATATTGAGAATAAGATTGTCACCTGAGAATCATACCAAATGCATTTTGCTGGCTTCATGCTCACTACAGGACATAGGTGCATTGAGTTATATAATAATGCAGAATTACAAATACTATTTATACTGCTTTTTGGTGGTGATGTTGTTTTGGTTTGTGGTTTTTGATCAAGCAGATATAGCTGAATACAACTTTGTTAAATGAATCTATGATACAAATAATAAGTAATATATCTTTTCATTGCATTTAAATTTCTTTCATTATTCAACAGGCACATTCATAAATCCAAGTCCACATAATTAAATATGATTAGTAAAGTGTACCTCTCCACTGATTCTCAATTTATATAATCATACACCAAAGTAGCTTTAAAGGGAAAGTTGCTCAGAAAAAAAGGAAACCATCTTATAATATTTTAATAGTATAAATAATAATATTTACTAACTGCAACAGTGAAACACTTGCTAAAATTTAAAGTTGCATAACTTACATACACACTAAGAAAAAGTAACTAAATAAATTTAGTTACTTTTTTTACACCTTTAAATCTCTGAAAAAATTTCACATGCCTAGCAGTTGCTAGAGTCACTAAGAAAAATGCGATTGAACTTATAAAGCATAAAAGGTAGACCTAACATAGAAAGAAAATAAATTCGTATGGTTAATTTTGGCTATGTTGATATGAAAAGCAAATAAAAACAACATTGCTGGCAGAATACAGAATGTATTCAGCACAAAGATAACACTAGGTTAATTAGTCCTTAAACCCCAGAAGGTTGAATTGTTTTCCTGTGAGAAGCTCCTGTGAGAAGCAAATGTTCTCTCTATGATGAACTGTATAATATGGATGAAGCCTCCGTTCCCTAACCAACACATCAGTGATCTCTGAGATCAGTGCATCTGTGGCTGCAATCCAAAGCAGAGATGGAAGTCCAGAAGTGACAGTATCTTCAGGAATTAACTCCCATCTCTAGAATCCTTGAGTATTTATAACACAGAAAGCTTTTCACATACTCATACTAACGATGAAAATAAGTTGAAAAAAATAAGAAGTCAAGATACAAAACTGCCTCCCTTATGAGGAGCAAGATGTTGGCTGGCAATATATATGGAACAGGAGCTTTCTTTTTAAAAGTCCCTTTGTGTAAGCATGATGGAACAAAATAATGTCAGAATCTCTGAAATGGCAAATAGTCTGGTGATACATTCTTCCATTAAATTATCTGCATAATAAAAATCATCCACAAAATAATTCTAAATATTCTTTCAACCTATTTAAATGATTATATCATAACTGTTAATTGGCTGTGGAAGCACAATGCTTGCCCAGCATCATTTTTACCTTAGTAAAATATTAGCTAATTAATATAAAATCACTATGAATTTTTAAAAATCATTTTTAACCTATAAATTTAATGTGTCTTATGTCATTCACATGAAATTCAATAAGACTAAGACCATGCCATTACTACATAAAAATCAAGGTATATTTGTTTTTAAGTAACTATCTATATTTTCTCTAGTTTGGGTGCTTCTATACCACAGTATAAACAAAAACATGAGCATGTTGTGTTTACTAAATTTTGTAGCTTCCACCCAGTTATTTCAAACAGTATCTTTCTATTGGACTCCTTTTTATTCTCTGAAGGTTTCTAACATCATCCTCTCCTGAGGAAGAAGGGAAATACAGCATCTCTGCCCTACTTACACCAGGGGTAGAGAAAACTACCTGCCAGACACAGCAATAGCACTCTTGGGCTCTGGCTGGGAAAAGAGGCACTAGCTAGCTCTCTGAGAGTCTCAGTGGGAGCACAGCCCTGTGCCTTGAGGGAAGTAAAGCAGAAAGCTATCAATCCTAAAAATCACCCTGAGAAAGGAAACTAGTAACAGTGTTAAAGTCATGACATGCCCTGGAGTAAGAACACAGTAAACTTCGCTGGCCATGCAAGGCTTATTAAAAGTGTCAAGGAAAAGAATCCTCTGGATATCTTCATTTGCAGTATCTCCCCACTCTTAATGGAAATTACTCTTAACTTTTACTTGCTCAGTTTCTAAATGATTAATAAACTTAAGTTTGGCATTTTAGGAATTGTAGTAAAGCACCTCCCCAAAAGAATCCTTCAGGAAAGGGCCCAAAGTAAATAGATCATGACCACAAACATATCTAGTATCTGTTGAAAATAACTCATACATTGCTTTTCCCTGAGAAAAAAATTACTGAAAGAATTTGGTCTTTCATATTTTTGCTTTTTTCATTACATTATCATGACATGTTATAGGTTTTAGAAAATCTTATATTGATTTTGAGATCATACAAAAACATTAATGAAATAAGATGTAAATATCTTCTCAATGTAAACAAGTACATGATTATTTCTCTAGTTTGTTTTAAAACATCAGTGTGTATTGTAATTATGAGTTTTATCTATTTTTTCAGATATCTTTCAGGTTAAGAAGATCTAAATAATTAAAACTGCTTAACTGTGCCTGCCATTTTCCTTGTTCCATTTATGCAAAGGAAAATTCAAATATTCCAAACTATTCCACACTCGAGTTTATTTAGAATATTAGCTCACTTTTAAATCATTTTCAATTTCTTTGAAATGCATAATAAAATTAAATCATCACCTGATTTCAATTTTTCCCTTTGTTCAGTAACAATGTTTATTTTTTAAACAAATCTTTTGTCTCCAAAGACTTCTGTGGGAAAATTAGGAGAATCCTATAATTTCATTCATTCAAAAGACTTTGGCACACTATTCTAATTCCTAAAAAGTGGCCCTATGTTTTTATTTAGTAAGTGGGAAAAAGTTTACTTGACGTATGATATCATTTTGAAAGGGATAGTTCTTTTCACATTGCTGAAAACTAAAAGCATCACATGTAATCATCTAATTGAGTGAAATTAAATTTAAAAAATTTAGCATTTTTACATGTTAATATTGAACCCCATACATTTCTGGAAATACCACATTTATTTTTGGTATTAAGACTTGAGGCTGTTTTCATGTAAATTATTTTCACTTAAAAATCTTAAAATGAGGTGAAATATATTTCCATTAGGGACTGAAGAAGAAAGAATATTCTACAGTTGATTCCCACCTTTAAAATTCTAAAGAACATGACAACCTTACACATTTCAGAACAAGATCATTTATAAGTTTGCTTCCCTATCTTCCCACTGGAGGAAACATGTTTGATTATTTATAGATCATTTTAATATGAACATTCTTTCAATCAAACTCTTAATGATCTCTAGACTATAAACGTCATTAGCTTTTATAAGTTCTCCTTTGGACTTTGCTGTGTATTCTTACAAGTAAGTACCTTAAAAATATACACTTTCTAAAATCCACTCACTCTACGCATAGATCACAGAGGCTACTGACTTCTGAGACGATAAATATCTCAAAGAAGGCAAAGATAGTCACTCTGAGCCTTTGTGTAGCTCAGAGTGCAGGACTGCGGGGGAGGCGGTTCACAGATAATGTCATTCAGAACGGTGGACAGCTCCCGTTAAGGCACGGAGTTGGTGATAATTTCCTTAGTTTCTAAACTAACTCCGAGGCTGCTTTTCATTGCTATATTTACTTGCTATTTAGTAGAAGCCTATAAAGAATGCTTAGTATATGTACATACTCCTTTAGTTGATTCTTGTTTCTTTTCCAACGGGTTCGGTCAAATAAATAAATATCACCCTGAATTAACAGGAGTTAACTCGTTCTGGATTTTAAAATGGAAAGTCCATACTTGTTCAGGAGCTAAGAAAACCGTGAGCACGCTAATAAGAGGATCTACTTCACGACCTTCATTTGACAATCATTAAACATGCTTATCACTGAATGAATACTTGGCGACAAATAAGATGAGAAAACGTCTTAATTTTAATTCTCCAAAGCGGAGTTCTCCTGCTGACAGCTCTGCTGCCCTTCTTCCCAAGTTGGGGGATATGAAAGAGATGTTTGAAACAGACTTGTAGTCAAGGTCAAGAAAGGGTGCTGCTCTATTTCAGGAAGGGGGATCTGGAGACGCCCCCCTCTCTGTTTCAGGAACTAGAGGCTTCCTGCCACGCTCCTGCCCTTCCTGGAGGCGCCCGGCTTTGCTGAGCCCTCACTTGTCAGGGACTATCCAAGTGCAAATTACCCTTCTCCTGCTTGCCAGCGCTGTTTCTGAGGAAACACTGTGAGGCTACCCAGCGCCTATAAAGAAAAACAGACTAAACACACTCCCCAGGGGCGAGCGCGGCAGGAACTCCTGGGCGTGTGAATCGCTGTCTCAAGTTACCCCGTCTTCTCCTCAGCCCAGAAGCCTCCTTTTCCCTCCTGGTTGAGACCACGCTTGAGGGAGCCGCGCGAGGAAGGATGGCTGCCCGCTTCCTCTCACTCCCGTCTCTGAAGTAAAAGTTTCCCTGGTACAACTTAGCCTCCCCCTAGGGAGGGTCACCGTGGCCTCCATCCTCCCCGGATCTGCCCCCAAAGTTCACGAGGCCAAGGAGGAGAGCCCGTCTGGGATTCCTGGGCAACAGGAGCATATCCTCCGAGCCCCTCCTGGGTGGAAACTACCCGGAGGCGCCGAATCAGCCGGAGCCGACTCTGCCGGCAGCGCCACCCCCCGCCCGCCCTCCGAGTCCCCGGGGCGCCCCCCTCCCAAGCGCGGGGAAGCGCGTTTGAGGGCGCGCCTGAAGACAGGGTGGGGCGGCGACCGGTAGCCCTCACCTGAAATCACTGTAAGGGTGGATAATCCAGAAGCCTGCAGTTTTAACCCTTTCCTGCTCCTTCTCCACCGCCTTCTGGCTCCCAAACATACGGAGGGAGAATTTGTTGACCCCGGGCTGCAGCATGGAGGTGAACTGCCTCTGCATGAAGCCGTACTGCCGCCGGGGTCCCTCGGCGTCCTCGAAGCCCCCAGCCGGCTCCTCGCCGCCGCCGCCGCCGCCGCCGCCGTCCACCTTAAAGCACACGGAGTTGCCGTGCTCCTTCGCTCCAGCCCCGCCGCCCCCCGGTGGGGTGCCCAGGCGCTTCTCGGCCGCGGCCGGCCCCGCGCCCGTCGCGGACGCCTTGGCGGGGAAGACGCTGTTGCCATCGTCCCGGCTGTTGGACGAAGAGTTGGACTTGCCGCCTCCTTCCATGCCCGGAGGACGCGACCGGCGACGGCGCGGGCTCCAGACTCGCCGGCCGCCCGGCGCCAGGGACACGAAGCCGAAAGGGCAGGGGCCCGAGCCGACTGCCGGCGAGCCGGCTGGCTGCTTCCCGTCGCGGCGGTGGCGGCGGCGGCGGCGGCGGCAGCTGCTGCTTCCCGCCCGCGCCGCCCCTCGCTGCGCGCCTGGCTTCCGCCGCCGCCGCTGCCCTCAGTGACTGCGCTCCGGGCTCCGGCGCGGCTGGTGCTGAGGCTGAGGCTGCCCGAGCGAGGCGAGGCTCAGCTCGGCTCAGCCCTCGCGCGCCAGCGCCTCCCCTCGGCTGCCCTCTGCTGGCTGGAATGGGTCTCTCCCTGTCTGCACTCCACACATGCTCGTTACTCTTGCTCCACTTCTGCCCAGCGTGACATTGAACTCAGGAGCCCTCGGAGGAGACATTCATTGGTACACGTGGAGAGGGACTCGGTGTGTGTTTGCATGAAAGAGCAGGGAGAGAGGAGAGAGCAAGTCTGAATCAGTGAGTGTGTGTTGCTCCAAAAGACAGAAACATCCTAAACTCATGGAGACATTGTCTGAACGCCTGTTTGAATAACGTTATAGATGGAAAAAAGGGGACGAGCTGACTATGCATGCCAAAAATTCACGTGCAAAACCAAATGCCCAAAAGAAAGTAAAGTTTGACAATGGCAAATAAATGTCAAAAGTACAAGGAAAGTGTGCGTGTGTGCGTGCACACGCGTGCATGCTAGAGAGAGGCAGAGGGCAAATGCTACCAGGTCTGTGTAATCCTGGGTAACCAGATGCTTGGGGCTTTTCAGATTAAGGTTCTGCACCTGGGGACAGACAACTGACCTCCTTACACTTATCCTTGTTAATTCTCGCGGCGTTCCTCAAACAGGGGACGGGATTTCTTTCTTTCCAAGGCCATTCATATCAATACGCATGCAAGCAGGTCTATCAGCCACCAATATTGAAAGAAAAGTGTGTGAGGGAGGCCTCGCCTGAGCTGACCTATCTTTTTAGATAAGTTACATAATCAAAAACACACTAAGGGACGTGTGTGCCTGTCAGTGTTTACTGACACCACGCTAGAAGTAAAGACGTCTTGGAAGCTCTCATTATAATGTCATTACCATTTCAGAAGGGGGAAACATTCGTAAGGGAAACTTACAAGCGTGGTACCGATGCTGAGGAAAGCATTCTCCGTTTCCTCTTATTCACCCTGCGTCTCTGAAACCCACTGGATTAGCTAAAAGAAGCTAAATGTGCTGCCAAACCTACCAATCACTCAGCAGGGCAGCCCAGGCGTCTGAAGAGTTTCAAGACTCCCGAATGTCCCAAAACATCTGTTTCAGATACAAGCCTTGCCTCCGTGCTTACAGCCTCTTCAAAGGAAATCTTGGCCTGCCAAGAAAGAGTCCCAGATCCCCTGGGTTTCTGTCAGCTCAAGCCACATTTTATGCAGAAGGGGAAGGATCTCAAGAAGGGAATGTATGTCAGGCTGGCAACTAGTGACCTATCATAAGAAAAAAAAATGAGTGGGGCCAATCAAGGTGTTTTTTCTGAATAATTAAACAGTGATGAAGCCAATTAACAATGAGGGAAGCAAGGATAAAGAGAAAGGAAGACAACTGGATGCCTTCCTGAGGGGTTAACAAAGGCTGAGAAAGGAAGCAGAGAACTGAGAAAAGAGCAGAGGGAAGCAGAAAGGAGCCATTAGGCCTAACTCTTGCAATTCTGTAAGATTTCCCTTACCATTCTCCTTACCATCGCCTATGCTAAATCTCCTTATTTCACGGAGCTATGTCCTGACTCAGACACCATCTGTTTTCAACTAATCATAAACCAGAACCCTAAGAATAAGTATGGACGGCCAAATTTTTATGGTAAGAGAAGGAAAACCATGAAAATATAGAACTCTGATCTATGAAATAGAGACCTTTCTCTACTTTGGAAATCCAAGAGGTCAGACGAGGATACCAGGTGCTGAGGGCAGAAGGAAACCACGGGAATGGATAAAAACAAACATTGCCCAAAGCAGAGTTCTGCCTAAGAAAGGCCCGATTACTCCGGCAGCTTTTCTGTATTGGACTAAAGATGTTTCCCTACTTTTCTCCCATTCTGCATGCTTCCCCAATCCCTCTATTTTCAGTCATAAGTGTGACAATGTATATTTTAACATAAAATTTAAATTTTATAATAATGTAAAAATATACCATCTAAAATGTTATGCTGTGCTTAAGTAAGTTTGCTTTTCTTTTAGCCAATCTCTCTGTTCTATTGCAACTTAATCTTACTCATGACCAGGCAGTTATTTTAGTAAAAGTTTTTCTGAGTTTCAAGGTTTGTACTAAACTGATATGACAGAATCACTGAAAAACAAGATCTCAAAATAGAACTAAGAAATGTCTACAAAGGATCACAAGTCATTGGTTGTTCCAAGTATAGCTTTTAGGCCATATTTTATTTATTCAAAATCTCAAAAAAAATGCATTTTCTTAAAAATTTGAGAATGTGTATATCAGTGTATTAACTTAAAGTTGTCAGCAATATAAAAAGTAATGTTTCTTTACTTTTCAGAGTGTTGATTTAAAGTTGTTTAGAATACGAAATTTAAGTTTTCATTGGAAGAAGAATGAACTCTCAAGAATATTGGGACAAAGTGAAAGCAATAAAAGAAAGAAATCAATGATAAGGGAAGAGACAGAATCTTGAAACCAGAATAATCTCAGCTTGTCTTGGTATTGTGTTCGTTAATTAACTATCTCAAGCTAAAATCTAGTGAGCTAAATTCAAATGTTTATTTTAAAGACATCTTAGAAATAAGATTACCATCATGTTGACTCTGTGTCATTAAATATCCATGATGTCAAAGTGCCTAGTGTTTTACAGGAATCTGATTTTGGAGGACTCATTAGAGAATATCAATTATGAATTAATTTCAGGAGAATGTCTTATCAGTAGTTGTGATGGGTGCTGTTCAATATATACAAGAATTGTGTATCTTCTGAAATGTTCCCTGTTTCCTTTAATACTCTGCTTAAGATCAAATTGCAGACAGCAGCAGAAGATTAATATGAACCTAAAATAAAATCTCCAGGCAGCAGATGCTAGCACACATGAAATGAGACAGAAAAGATAGATTGGTGACTTGAAGTTTGACGGTTTATTGGAAAGTCTCATTGAAGCTTAAAGATTTAAGGGATAAGACATTTTGGTCCTCTTAGTAGGACAGAGTAATATGTTAAAAACATATGACACATGTAAGGAAATAAAAACTTCTGTCAAAGAAGGCAATGGTAAAGAACAGTGGGGGAAAAAGTTCATTAGAGACAAGCTCACAGTCTTTCTGTGTCTTGTGCACAAGCAAATCTGATTGTCTGGAAAGCCACACCAACATCATGCTTACTAGAAACATTAAAGCTGTTGAAGTCAGAACAAGATGCTCATACCCACCACTTCCGCAACGCATGTTATATTTAATGGATAATATTGTCTTCTGAAAACCCAAAAGAATCAACTGGATAACCATCGTAACTCATAATAGAATTTGGAAAGTTGGTATAAACTTTTGTTTACTTCAGTAGACATGCAAAAATTAACATTTTTCCTAAGCATCAGCAATAACCATTAGGGCAAAATGGAGAACAATGATTTTTTTTCACAATTGCAACTAAAAATGAAAATTACACAGTAATAAACTTAACGAGCAATGTCTGAGATTTATAGTTTAAGAAACAGTTTTGATAAAAGGCGTACAAGATATTTAAATAAATTAGCTATACAATTTGTCCATAAAGACTCAATATTATCAATATAGTGTTTCTTCCAAACTTGATTTTAAGTTTCAAACGAAATTTAGTGATTCCATGGACACAAAGAGGGAAACATTACACATCAGGGCCTGTTGGGGGATGGAGGGTAAAGGGAGAAAGAGCCTTAGGACATATACTTAATGCATACAGAGCTTAAAAACTAGATGAGGCGTTGATAGATGCAGCAAACCACCGTGGAACATGTATACCTACATAACAAACCTGCATGTTCTGCACATGTATCCCAGAACTTGAAGTTAAATAAATAAATAAATAAAAGAAGGAAAGAAAGCAAACGAACCAAACAAAACAACTCACCAGTAATATACAGTCATTCGTACAAAGCAATAAAACAACTTACTTTAAAAAAAATGTGTTTCTGGTTTTCTTCATGGGGAGAAAAGCAACAAAATGCTTTTAAAGTTTAGTTGGATTAATAATTCATTTTTAACAGTTCATAGGCTATGGCTTAAGAAATGAAAACAATGAAAAAATTTCCAAAGTATTAGAGCTGCTTAAGATAGTACTGAGCAGAGAAAGAGACAAATAAGGCAATACAAAAGAGTAAAAACCAGGCTAGGCACGGTGGCTCATGCCTGTAATCTCAACACTTTGGGAAGCTGAGGCGGGTGAATCATTTGAGGTCAGGAGCTCAAGACCAGCCTGGCCAACATGGTGAAACCCTGTCTCTCCTAAAAAAAAAACTGAGCCAGGCATGGTGGTGTGTGCCTGTAATCCCAGCTGCTTGGAAGGCTGAGGCACAAAAATTGTTTGAACCCAGGAGGTGGAGGTTGCAGTGAGATGAGATCATGCCATGGCACTCCAACCTGGGTGACAGAGTGAGACCCTATCAAAAAAAAGAAATAAAAACCAGAAACACACTTTAGTATTTCATAGATCAAAATTGTCATTTTACAGGCATGAGCAAAGGATATGTTGTATAGCAAATAGTCCTAGGATGGCTAAGTAACTATTCCAGAGAAGAGGAAAATAGAATATAACATCATGTTATTTCCTAAAGTGAATTTAAGGTGATTTAGTGGTATAATGTAAATACTAAAAATCATTACAGGTAAATGTTTACAAAAGCAAACACTGGAAAAATCTATGCCACTTTTAAAAGATTGACAGATACTTACTTTTCAGAATTTTTTCCATTGACCTGTCTATAGAAACTCTAACAATACTATACTATTTTAGTTGTTTTAGTATATGGTGGCCCAGTCCTAACATCTGTATTTCTCTTGTGTCTGTATACATACATATTATACATGATTTTTTTCTGATACATATAGAATTATTTTTGACAAGTTTTGGCACTTGTCTTTGTAGGGAAGGCATTTTCTTTGTAGGGAAGGCATTTTGTTTGCATTGCACATAGAGGCTATTTAGGAAGAACTATCATCTTTAATATTGAGTCATATTGAGTCGCTATTCAAAAGCAAAATAGATATTTCTTTCATATTTCTTTCTTCTTATATCACTGCTAAATGATACATATTTTTGTCAAACATTTGAACAACATTTAAAAAGAAAAACCTTGAAGTATTCCATCAACCCTTCTTCATTTTGCTGGCACATGCCTATCTTTCTCGACTCTAACATACATATATTCATTTGTATTATTTTACATAACTAATCTCTTAGTATGCCTATTGTATCCTCCAATCTTGGCCTCCCAAAGTTCTGGAATTATAGGCGTGAGCCACTGCACCCAGCTAAAATTCTTGGATACTTTGGTTCCTATTTTCCCCTTCATAAAATTTGAGAATAAAGTTGTCAAATTATCTTAAACAGTACAGCTGGAATTTTGTTCAGAACTACATTTATGCATTAATTGATAAATAATTAACATAGTTATAACCTTATATTAGTACATCTTAAAATGCAATCTCTCCATTTATCTATCTCTATCTACCTATCTTACCTATGTATCTAAATACAAGGTAA